AGTATAGTATTATGTTCGACCATTTCCGGTTGATTTTGATGAACATTTTAGTACCGGATTTTTGTAAATAAAATTTCTTAAAAATAAATTGCTACAGTTTCTGTAATAAACATCAAAGTTTCAAGACAACAAAAAACAACAAAAAAATAGCAATTAAGATTCGTGTTTCAGTCGTCGAAAAGGGAGAGTAGCTGTCTGATATAGACAGAGGGAGTAGCAGCAACTCGGTAATCCAATTAAGCCGTCTAATTTCCATGACAACAATTAAGTCCAGGTCGTTGGGGGTAGAGCGCGCACCTCGGAAGGGTGTATATACATATATTCATATATTTTTTTACCGTTTTCTGTTGTCTTCCCCGAGAAAAGGGATCGGAAAAGGGAATTTCTGAGCATTCGCATCTACATAACACACAGAGCAACAACAAACACATCACAGCACATGATTTACACGCAGTCTTTTCTCGTGAGAGACTACCTCGAGGGGGCGACCTTAATTGCGTCCCGTAATCCAATCCTTACCTTCCTTCACTAACAAGTGAAGAACCAGAGAAATGCGAAATATAAGTTATTTTTTTCTACACGAAAAACTAATTAAATTAAGGAAAAGGATAGATTTTTTATACCAGATGTTTTTATATTTCAGAGGATGTTAGAAGATGCATCAATTATGTGCAATTCATGGTCGCCAAGACACAACGTAAGTGAATTTGCATGATGAAAAAAAAAAATTAAAAAAAAAGTTTTTGAAGAAATTATTTATTATTTGCTGGCGCTTATAATTATGAAACTATTAGTTTTCTATTTCTGTTTTGACTATTTAGGACGCTTTGATGCAGTTTTAAGCTATTTCCTTTTGTATTAATTTATATAATTTGATTAATTTCTTGTAAATTTTGATAATCTGAACATTGAACTACAAAATATATGTCAACAATTAGATTATTTACGGATTATTATTTAACATGTTTTTATGATTAAATAAACGAATAAAATATACTCAAATATTCATAGAAAAAAAATATCTATTATATTTTATTCGTTAATCACTCGAACAGTTTTGATTGGAAACAGTTCATTTGCAAATTTCCTATACGTAAAAAGTCGTCGGCTCCATACACAAATAGATACAAAACTATATGGACTGTATAGTGTGTGCATCGGATCCGTTTTCATTTCGCCGGAGTCGACAGATTGAATCAAATTAAATAAAACGCTAATTCGATTTCGCGCTTCCAATTCGAATCCGATTGGAAAAAGCGGGCGAAAATTATTATTAAAATTTATATAAAAAAAACAACAACGACGATTTAAAAATGATGCGGGACGGAAAACAAGGAAACCGTGAGTGTTTAATTATACGAAATAAAATCGAAGCGGACGTACGTTTTTATTGCTTTGTTTTGTTTTTTTAATTTCAATGAATGGATTTGACAAGGAAAGGAAATCTTTCTCTTTTTTTATATATATATATTTTCGTTAATGGTTTCGTGCTTCATGCGAGCTAATTGGACGAAATTTACATGTTATTTAATTAACTGCTAAGTGTTTTTTGCTTGTTTTTTGATTATAATTAGAAAAATAATGTATGATTTTTTTGTAGTTTTCATTGATTTTATTGTTTAATCTGAATTATTTAACGACTTAAATTTATTATTAATTAATTAATGTGAAAAAATATCATTTTAAATCTATTAAAATTTGTATTCAAATATAAATTTGAACTGTTTATTATGAAAGAATGAGAAAAACGTCTTCATTCTAATTTAATATGCAATTTTGTGGAAACGTTTCTTGAGCAGGTAATATTTTTTTTTTGTTTGTTTAAAATAAAAAGTTTTTCCATCCAACTGGGATTTGCAGAGAGGGCTTCGACATCCAAAAAAAAAAGTGAGCGTTACTAATGGATGGAACGTGAAAACTGCGCGCGGAGTGCAAAAAAATAAAAAATAAAAATAAAAGAAGAGAGAGAAGCAAAGTTGTCTCCAATTAGTGAAAGCGCCCCCTCTCGATAAAATTATTGACAAATTAATGGTTGTTAGGGATGAAGGGAATCCCGCTGGATGCATTACAATCGTCTGAATAATGTATGCGCTTCAAGGGAGGGAAAAACAATGAGAGAGAGAGGAGAAAATAAATAAAAATAAATAAAAAGAAAGAAACGAAAAAAAAAAGAAGGAACGTAGCGTAAAAGGGACATTTTAAAATACAAGAAATCTCAATTATGCGCCGAACTGTGATGGAGCGATGGAGGTTGAAGAGAGAAAAAGCGAGACGTCGAATCAATTAGCGCAGTTTTAAAGGGGGGAGGGGGGTGC